TCGCAAATTTCATTTCTGAAAGGCACATCCTCGAAAGATAAGAAAGAGTTCTGCTGAAACCCCAATTTCATATCTCGAAGCGTTTGGCCTGTGGAGCTGTCACACAAGAACACGATTGTCGCTCGGCCTTAAATATTTAAGCAGGAATTCAGAGCAATGACAGTTGCAGGAAAGAATGGAATAAACATACCCCATTCCAGAAGCTCATGACTCGACGAACAAAAGGTTGCGACGAGAAGTGATGTTGAAGGAGAAAAAACGGGTAATTCTTAAACAGGCCTCAAACAGACGAAGCCCAACACGCTGAAGTGGCCAGTGCCCTTAATGGAGTTCGTGAACTCATCGTGACAGCACTTTACGAGTATTTTGACCGTAAAAAGGTCAGTAGTTCTTGATACAAAGTTCGTATATATCACCTCTCTCGTTAGGTTTGGTAAGTCAGCGTCATCGGGATCCGTCGTGAAAATGGACGTTTCAAATGCATTCATATAAAAAAATTTTAGACGAATGTCCGGCTCCAGAAAGCAAGAAATTGCCGATGGTAGGCCAACTTAACCTTGCTTTGGCCTGCACCTAACTCCTTTGAGTGCAGTTGGAACGTATACGACGCTTTTCGTGGCATGCAGAAAAGCTTGACCTAAGAAGACATAGGGATTGGCTGCCCAATGCCCCTATGACCATCGCTTTCTAAGTCTTGTCTTCGACCCGGGGAGTCGATTTCAGGAAAATTGTGAAATGTGACATCGGACTACAGGAGCGACCGAGGTTGCTCCACTTCGTCTTCACTCACGGTGAGACCGCTGAATGCTAACTAGATAGGCAATTAATCAACACGGTTTTAGGAGAAACTGACTGAATGGAATTAAGGATAATTCGCTCTTAGAGGGTCGAAAAGTTCGGATTGCTTCTTGCTTCCTTTAATTTCTCAGGCCATTACATTATCTTCTTCCTTCAAATTAATTATATTAATTTCTATTACATTCCTAAATTTCAAATTTTTTTCCTCGCAATTTGTGTAGGAGATTGATGATTGCCATATAACCGAGTTGGCGCGACACGAGAAACATGGTTGTACGGTGAGAAGCAGTGGTTGGCATGGGCCCTGGTGCAAGGAATGAAACGGGGCCCACTCCAATTTCTTACTATTGAATTATGTGGGAGTCACTTTTTTTTTTGCTAGATTTTCCTCGGCAGCATATAAATCGTCGTCGATAGCTGAAGTCAGTGTGGAAGGCAGTGGCGGATACAGAAATTTTTCATAGGGAAACAGGCCCTGTTTTCTAGTTCCCAGCCTTCCCCTCCCCCTCCCCCCCCCTCATCTACCACCACCCTCCGTCCTATCGCCTTGTTAATTTTTTGTTTGGGGTAAAAACCCTGAATATCTATTTCACAGGAGCTAATAAACATTAATTTATGAACTTATTAATTAAATTTAAAACTAATTTATGAATTTATTATGGGGGGACTGCCCCTTCTCTGCCAGAGGAGGGGCAGCCCCCCCCCCCCCCCCCCCCCCCCCCCCCCCCCCC